GGGGGCAGTTTCTTGATTCATGATATCGGATACATTTGCTCAAGAAACATGTCGAAATTCAAATTCTAAATGTTGAAAAAAAAAAGGATGAAAAAATACATAACGTAAGTGCAGTTGTTTAAAGAATGAAATTGTTTTTTTTCCCTCTCTCCTGAAGATTTTGCTTTCTGGGCTTAACACAATTGAAGAGCTTGCCTAAGATACTCTTCTAATTTTTCTAGGTGTCTCCCAAGTTACTATAGCAGACAAAGGTCTGGTAGGGGTTTTATGTGTGTGCTGTCCACTCTTCATTTAGTTTAGTGTTGGTAACTTTTCAGATAGGGCTAAGGCAGGGGTGTGCAACAGTTTTCATTGGCGGGCCATTTACAAACGTTGGAACGAGAATTACAGTCAGTCGCGGTCAATATGTGTAATCTGATGACAGCTGGTATTTTGAGTACCTGTGGCCTTGTGGCATCTAGAACAGTGTTTGTCAATCAGGGTGATATCATTCACTAGTGGGCGTGGGCGATTTGGTCAGTTCGGTAGGTGGAGGGGATTACCTGGGTGTTATTTTATGCCCCCACTTGGAAATGCGTATGTGTGGGCACTTCGAAAATTTTACCTGGATAAAGGTAGCGAATGTGGAGGCTGTCTATACTGTAAAAAGGTTTGCAAGCACTGATCTAAAATCTCCAGGTTGTAAGTAGTGAAGAATTCTGTGTACTGTAAAAGGGCCTAAATTTATATCAATGTGGGATTTTTTGGTAGCGTTTGATTTTATGTACTGCTAATATGTGTTTCATTGTGGTTTTTGAAATTGTTTTCTTGTGAATTTTCTTCAGTGTTTCACTTTTTGTGGGGAACAATGCTTTCATAACCTTCTTGGTTTTTCTTTTCTCTTTCAGGACACATTTTTCTACTCATTAGTGTATGACCCCCAGCAGAAAACTCTCCTCGCTGACAAGGGGGAAATCAGAGTGGGCTCCAAGTATCAGGCAGAGATGATCCCTAAACTCAGTGAAGGTCAGACTTGTTTCCAGTTTATTCATTTTGTGGGTTAAAAGGAGCAAATGTTGTAATTATGCTCTCTAATTAAATGGTAAGGTGTAGAAGGCGGTGTGTAGCAGTTAGGAGCAAGGAATGATGAATTGGGAAAAGTCTAATTGCGTTCAGAACTGATATGAACAACAGATTGAATTACAGCACATGTTGAACTTTTTCTGAATTTTTAAGACCAGGAACTCTAAGAAGTGTAATGAAATATAGTTTATTAGTGTTTAACATGCTTTATATATTGCACTATTACTTTTTTCATATCAATTCCTTGACATTTGCTTTCACTTTGATGTATTTCTTATTGATCCCATAGCATGCAAATAATGTGAAATATTGATTATCGATCTGTGTTGATTGTCAGGTGAAGGTGATGTCAGAAAGTCCGAGGACTTGGAGGAGCTGGTCTGGGATCCCCTTCATGGTCTTTCTGAGAAAGAGATCGATCAGTTCCAGATCATTGCTAGGTAGTATAGATGTTGTATCTGTCATTTGTGTTTTTGTATGTATGGGGTTGATGGGTGCTCTGGTGTGGTTTGCTCCTTTTTTCCTATCAGATGTCTGTTATCCTTATATCTCTTCCTTCGTCTTTCTATACGTTACTCTTTAGTAACACCCCAAATCTTCGGCACGTATATTAGTATGACGCTATGTGTTTTTCTCGTGCCGTAAAACTTTTACGAAATCTTAAACTAGTGTTCAGCATGTGTTCGTGCCTGTGTATGAGTGTTTATAGTCTTTAATTTTGTTTTGATAGATGACCATTCAAGTTTTCTTCACCAGTTATTTCAAATTCTTGTCTAAATTTATGTAAAAGCTTCATAAATGTGATCATGAATAGAAAGGAGTTCCTCATTGATTAAGGTTGCTGATGTCTTTCATTGATAATTTGGTTTTTTCTCACCCAGTCCTGAAATGCTGAGCTGTCTGTGTATGAAAAAAAATGTACTCAATCACATTGCAGAGCTGAATACATTTTTCTTTGTAGAATGGAAAAGTGGGGGTTAAAACTAGGGTTGTAAAGCTGAGAGAAAAAAAAGGTACCATAATAACCAACCGGATGTCTGTTGGCGTTATCACCGTAGTGACCCAGGCATGGACTATGTGGCATATCGCAGAGTAAGCCTGGATGTGCCCTGAGTGTCAGGACGTCAGGCCAGTTATCCATTCATTGTGAGGCATGGTGGTGAAAGCTTGGGGGGGGGGGGGGTTGTAGTTTTTTTTTCTTCTTTTTTTTTTTTACTCAACACATCTTATGTCCTTTTAAAAACAGATTTCTGTGTGGATTTGATGTAATTTTATTTGTTGTTATATAATCTAATATTATAACTGTAGATGTCCCTGATTGGGTTTAGAAAAAATTTTTCAAGCCAGCATTGTTCTTTTTAAAAGATTATTTTTACTGTCTGATGATGTAAGCCTATAGTGTCAAATCGATCAAGAACAGAGAGTGTGGGTAGATACTTTCCTTTTAATCGTGTTTTATGTGACCCTCATATTGCGTCTGTTGTTTCAGATCTGTGGGCACATTTGCCCGAGCCCTGGACTGCACAAGCACTGTCCGCCAGCCTAGTCTACACATGAGCGCAGCTGCTGCCTCTAGAGATATTACCATTGTAAGTAGGAACCTTACACTACCATACCCTGTTACAAAGTTATGGATTGTTTTTTTGGTTTTTTTTATGTGAGCAACAAAAAAAAAAATAAAGGCTGAATTAAGGGTACAATGACTGAATTGAAATGTGATAATTTTTCAATTAAAAAAAAAAGACTCGTCAGTTCCTTTTGGGCAGTTGGATTACTCTATACTGAGTTTATAGAATTGTATGACAGTAAGAAACTTGCAGCCTTACCTTTTTATAAGACTGTACATGATCATCTAATGCATCGTAGCGTTCCATTAAATGTTCATGATTTCAGAAAATTATTATAGTTATGTTTCACTGAAAATTTCATGCTCACCGTGTTTTTTAAACGCATGATGTTTGTATCTTTCTGGTCAATAATTTCAGAAAATTATTAAAGTGTGCTTCGTGCTCAACTCAGAAAGGATTATAAATATGACTCGCAAAAAAAAAAATTATGCCTACCGTGTTTGTTAAAAAAACCTTGATGTTTTGTCTCTCCCCAGTTTCATGCAATGAATACCCTCCATCAACACAAGTACAACATTGCCAAAGCTATCCAAAGCCTTGTGCCATCTGGGGGCCCCGTGCTGTGCCGAGACGAGATGGAGGAATGGTCAGCTTCAGAGGCTAACCTCTTTGAAGATGCCATCGAGCAGTATGGCAAAGACTTCAATGGTATCCGACAGGACTTTGTGAGTATTAGTTATTGACACTTTCAGCTGCTTTTTGCACGCACCTTTTTGTTAAAAAAATGATATGTTGAAGTTTTGTTATTGAAAGTTTGCTCAGGCAGTGAAAAGCGATACATGTCTGTTCCAAGAATGAAATAAATAGAGGACCCTTGTTAAGGGCAATAGGGCAATAATTTGGTCATCTTTGTGTCAATTTCAGTAAAACTTCGAAATAAAATTCAATGAAGAGAATATCAAATTTGTCATGTGAAAAAAATCAGCCAAGTTCAACATATCTTATGGGTTTTTACATTTCAACCAAAATTGAATAAGTTCTAAACTGTGTTTTGTTTGGTTTTTAGAATTTGTAAAAAAAAAAAAAAAGATTTAAATCATTAAATCGTTTTTAGATGTTGTGCTTGCCTAGTTTACTTTCATGCCAGTAATGTTCTTGAATTTTTTTCCTCCCTCCTCAGTTACCTTGGAAATCCCTCAAAAGTATAGTAGAATATTATTACATGTGGAAAACCACAGACAGATACGTTCAACAGGTGAGTAGTGTCAAAACTGTTTCAAAATATGTTTCTCTATTTTTGGCGGTTAGTTTTTGAGCGGTGGCGTGTTTTTTCTGTCATTGGTGAATATATCGAAATTGGAATAATACACATGGTTGTTTTTTAAGTGCTCTGATGTACAGTGTTTATAGTCTAATTGTTATGATAATTCAAAAGTTTTGTTAATTTATATTCTGTGAGAACATTTGCTTGCTAAATTGTTTTCAGTGAAGGGATGGATAAGGAGACTCTTGAGGCCAAAATGTCCAACCATATCTGTAGTGCTTTTTAAGATTACACATGATCATGTCAAAATATACCGGAGTGTGAACATTAATACATTTATTTGTCTGTAAAAACTTTATACTTTTATTTGTCTGAAAATATTTCATATTTTTATTTTTGTAGAAACGAATCAAGGCATCAGAGGCTGAGAGCAAGTTGAAGCAGGTGTACATTCCGAACTAGTAAGTGTTCAGACTTTTCTTTCACAACTAATTTGGTGTTTTCATCTGAATAGCAGATACCTGTAAAAAATCAAGGGGAAAGAACTGTAAGGAGTTATGTATCAAAAAGTATAGTGTGTCAAGGAAGAAAGTGAAGTTTTGTGTATTTCCGTTTCTTCTTTGTATTTTCAAGGTTGGTGTCAGTACTTTTCTGTTTATTTCTTTCAAAACAAGTGGTTGAATAATTAAAGATATTATTATTCATGATTTATGTAGCTAAAGTTATATTATGTCTTGATGCTTCTAATATTGCATATGGGTGGATTTTCTTTTAGAATTGTATATCATCACCATCATCATCATCATCATCATCATCATCAAACGCTCTATCCTGGAGTATAGACCGCCAACAAAGGCTCTCAATCTACCTCTGTTCAGGGCTATGATCTCCTCCTTTGTCCAGCTGTATCCCATCTCCTTTAAGATTGGAAAAAAATCCCTTCTAAATTATGTACTTTAAGGCCTTCCTTCCTTTCTTTTTCATTGTGGATCCCATCTTAAGTATTGTAGTTAGTAAATGTAATATTGTGTTTGTGTTTCTCTTTTAGCAACAAACCAAACCCAGCAGCCATTACCAACAAGCTGAACGGAGCTGACGGTCAAGTCTCAGGGAGGGCGTGTGAGAGCTGCTACAGTGAGTACTTTTATCAGACTTTTCGGTCTCTGGTCTTTGTTTTAGTAAGCATTTTACGGCACTTGCAACACAATAAAGTCATATAAACGGCGAAGATTAGAGGTGTTACAAGAGAGCAACAAACACAAAAAAAGGAGGAGGAGAGATAAGGATGAAAGATAAACGAGTAATTTAAATGAATAAATTTGCATACAAGTTTTGGCCAATTGACTTACAGCCCCTGTTTTGGTATGTAAGCATAGATTTGTTTTTATTCCTAGAGTGCACCTATCTTCTCACAAGTTACTCTAGGTCTTTTTAAATTTTAGACATATGTTCTTTTGGTTTCTGGTTGGTTTGGTAAGTTTTCTAGTTGTTTTTTTTGTTGCTTTACGTGCTGTTAAAATGCATAAAAGATTCATATTGATATTTATCGTTTGAGAAATTATGGACAGAGACAATTTACTGTCAGTTTGTTTCTCTGAAAGTTAACCTCTTTGTTTTTCTAAATACCACAGAGAAGGGGAGTTTCTCTGTCGTAAATGAATTTTTCATGTAAAAGAGATATGCTTTGTCAAACTGTTCAAACTGTATTTTGCGATGTATGAAGAAGTTAAAAGTTTTCTGTATTGTGTCTGTTCCAGCGGCCCACTCCAATCAGTGGTACTCATGGGGCCCGGTGCATATGCAGTGTCGTCTCTGCTCTAACTGCTGGTCCTACTGGAAGAAGTATGGAGGCTTGAAGATGCCCACAAGATTAGGTAAGCTTTTGTTGTCTAGATTTGTCAATACATAAAAAGAGAAAAACTGATTTCAGCAGGATAAGGATATTTGATTTAGTCATGTGTGCAGACACGGTTAAAATAGATGTTAAAAAAACAGAAAGAGAAAATAGAAATGAATGGAACACTTCTTGAGTAACTGAAAACAAAGATTACTTAGCAAGTCTTAAGATGGAATCCTTTAGAAAGAGGAAGGCTGAAAAGGGCTAGGAGGAGGGACGTAGATTTGGGCGTAAAGAAAATGGGATATGGCCAGACAGAGGTGGAGACTAACCCAGAACAGAAGTAGATGAAGAGCTCTTGATGGTGGCCTATACTCACAGGGTGAGAAAGGCCCGCAATGACGATGTAGACATCTACTTTAGGAGATCTGTACAGTTTGTTGTACACCAGGTCTTTTCATAAAAGACTTCAGATAAATTGTTGATCAGGTTGCTAATTTGTTTTCTCATTTATAGATCAGAGAACAAAAAACAAAGAAAAACCTTTTTATTTCAGTTTTGTGTGCAGCTTTGATTCTTTGAGGAGAAAAAAAATCACCAGTATCATTCCACAACCACATAAGTATTCTGGGGTTTCAGATAAAACGTATTCAGATAAAGACGTCAAGAGACATCTTACAACAGAGTTTCTATCTGTTTCATCATGTCCTTTTTAAGTTTTTACATTGACAAAGTCTTGGTTCTGATTTGGGTGCTTTCTTTTTCTCTAATGTTCTGACTCCTTCATTTCACTTATGAAAAAAAGAAAAAAAAGAAGATATTTATTCTAAGTTAATGTACTCTTCTGTCAGTTGAGATAATGGGAATAGATTTTTTTAAGATACTATGGATATTTTGTCCTGTTTTTGTTCCATAATTTTTTTTTTTAGAAAAATGTTTTAAACTTGCACTTGCTCTGTTTTCACAGATGGTGAGAGGCCTGCTCCCAATCAAAGACAAGGTCAGCACCCTTTCGTACCGTGTCTATGTCTGTTTCTGACTTGCTTTCAAGATTCTGAGAACTTAACAATAATATAATTTCATCAGCATCATTTCACAATCGCCTGATCATTTTTTGAAGGAGTCAGAACATTAGAGAAAAAGAAAGCACCCAAATCAGAACCAAGACTTGTCTGCTATTTATTTGTCAATGTAAGAACTTAAGAAGAAAATGATGAAATGGAAAGAAACTCTGTTGTAAGATGTCTCTTGACGTCTTTATCTGAATACGTTTTATCTGAAACCCCAGAATACTTATGTGGTTGTGGAATGATGCTGGTGATTTTTTTTTTCTTTTTCTGTGTTTATGTAGTTTTGACCAATGAAAGCTTTGTGTTACTTTTGACATATAAGACTTTTTAAGCCCATGTGTTATTGTTTGGTTAGTGAGAGGCGAGGTTATTGTATCGTCATACTGATATGCAATTTATGTGTAATGTGTTCTCACATTTCCTGAAGTATCTGAGAATTTTTGTTTCAATCTCTTTTTATATCTATATCAGTCATGGTTCTTGAATCAGTGTCAATATGATGTCTGCATTTTTGCCAAAGTTTTGTTTTTCCTACAGTCAGTTATAGTTTTGTTTTCCAAAATCTAGTCAGTTTTGTTTTCCCAAAGGTCAGTACATATTTTGAAATAGTCTGTGGGGCACGTATATTACTTTGTGTTTGTGTACTTTTTAAGTGTGTCCTCGCTGTTTCAGAGAGGATAGCCCAGATGAATTCCATCCGCATGCAGAAATGCACTTTCACTGGTTGTGGGAAGGTAAGCCAAAGACAGGTCAGCTACTTTTCTATCTTTTTTACTCGGTGTGAACTCGATGTTGCTGTGTGAACATAAACTGTGTTTGAAGAGCACATGGGTAAAACGGGCATATAGTCGCCAACTGGAAAGAAATTGTGAGGATGTCAGATTTAAAAGCTTGTGGACTCATATTCTTCATATTTGTTTGACTGGTGGTTTATTGTTGTTTGTGGGATGGGAAATTCAAACAACAATAACCAACTAACAGTTAAATAGAAATACAGTTATGAGTCTACAAGTGTTGAAAATTGATACCCTCAGGATTTTCAGTTTGTGACTGCCCGTTTTCCCCCTGTGCTCTTCATTTGTCTATCAGTTTTTACGAATGTGATAGCTTCAGTTGCGTGTTGATTTGCTTTCCTTGTTTGTGCAGTCTCGGTGAGAATTGAACATTTTGTTGGAAGAGCATGTGTTCAGAGTGATGTGAATTTGACGTGCGTTGAGTTTTCGTTCTCGTTCTTCGATGTTTCTCATTTCATTCTTGTCTTGTCAGAAGATAAGGGTTGCAACTGTGACCTTAGTTTGTTTTGACATTTTTTTCAGTATGCTTCAGTGTAAGCTTGCTTTGTACATCGTGTAATGTCTCAATTGTTTGCAGTATCTTTTTAATTGTTCCGTTGTGGGCTTGCCCCAGAAGGATAATGCTTTCTTCTGTCCTCATTGCAAAATGGTTTGATGCAGGATACATTATTCATTCTTAATGTTTAAAAAGTTGTAAGGTTTTTACTGTGTCCAATGCCAGAATTGTGAGGACGAGCCCCCAGCCTTCCTGGATAAAGTTAATTTTTTTTTAAAAGTCTTTTTATGTAAATCTCTATTCTGTATTAACTCACTCAACCCTAGGCCTACATGTCCAGGTTGTCAGCTCTGCCTACAGATTTTTACCCCTTTTTGGAAAATTGAAAAAAAAACCCAACAAAATTTTAACATATCCTACTCAAATTTGGTACACTTTTTTTTTGTTCAAATCTTGGTGTGTATTGAAAATTTGAAGGCAAAATGTCATAGTTTTTAAAGAATACTCCATGGAAAAAGGTTTATATACAGAGTCAAAAAGTAAACAAAAGACGAAGATAGGAATTGCGTTCAAATTTCGCACCCCCTCACATGGTTCACGAATATAGCTTTGTTCTAAATTGGGGCTTGCACTTCTGGTCATAATCTGTTTCAAACGAAAAATGGTTATTCTTCCGATTAGGCTATCGTCTGCTTCACACAAAAGCAGTGTTTTTGTTCATGAAGGTGAAATTTTCCGGACCGATTCTGTAGGTGCTAGGGTTGGAGCATTGGGAGCACATACTGATACTATCTGCGTTAGGGTTGGGTGAGTTAAGAAGTTAGAACAGCAAACAAATTGAGACATTACACTAAAATGCTTGATTTAGGGTGCAGGACACAATTGTTTTGTGGTGTTCAACAAAAATTCTGCTTACGCCTTAATTAGCAATAGAAGCAATATGTTTTTGTGTGTGTGTGTGTGTGTTTTTGTGCGTTGTGCAGTCTTGAAATAGATGAATCAAAGTAACGTTCCCCACAATGCAGACAGCTATTTTTGTGTTGGTTTATAAAACTATAGGCATAACAGAGATTTTGTGCTCTATCGGAACACAGACTTGTTATTGACAGTGATACATAGACTAAGAAATTTGAAGCAAACAATGGTTTATATGTGTCAAGCCGCAGTGGAATCGGGCGCTCGTCAATTTTTGGACATAATGGGGTTATTGGTATCCTCAACCTGTTCATTTGCCTTGCTTCGAATGAAGAAAATTTCCCTCTAGCTTCAATAAAATTTGAGATATTTGCGATTGAAGGAGTTGAGAGGTAAATTTACCAAGAAAAGGTCTACCAAATTTTGGTGACTTCCATAGCCTGAGAGTCCTTGAAAACTGAAAATTAACAGTTTTTGCCCCTTAACTCAATTAAAAATTAAAAACCTAAATACAATTCACACAAAAATCTGTTTTTAAAATGGACATAAAAGCAAAAATTAAATAGAGATTGCCAAACCAGCTGAAAAATGAGTTTCTTTGATTTCAGTATATTGAGGAGTGCCTGATTTCACCACGATGCCTCACATATGAACTTTTGCGAGAGCTTAGAGAGATAATTTGTGTTGAAATAGCCAAATATTGTCAGCACAGACTGGCAGATTTAATTTTCATACAGGTGTGTAAACATTGTTTGTCAGAAATAGTTGGCACAGTGTGGACGGCTGAGGAGAGACTACTGGCTACTCTAAGGTATCGAATAAGCGTGCGTGCCGCCGCCCCCCCCCCCCCGTTTATTATTTTACAACTTGCCACGACCGACAATCATGTGAAACATTATGTCGAGAATCTAGATATCTGAATGAAACATCTTTTTTGTAAATGGCAAATTACCCTCAGTATTAGTAACGGTACCGGGTTGGCTACCTCAATTTTCTGTGCATTAAAAATTTTTTTGTACATTTGTTTATATTTTTAATGAAAGTGGTTTGTTATTAAATGGGAAAAGTTGTCACAGTAACTTACTAAAATCACTAAAATTCCATGATGACTTGTACTTATATTCACTGAAGGAGAAATAAAACAGATTTGTTCCCACTAGTACAGGGGTATACGGTTGAATGCCGCCGCGCCCCCCCCCCCCCCCAATAATTTTGCACCACTTGTCCAACCAACCCCCCCCACCCCCACCCCCACCCCCTTTATTCGATACCTTAGAGTATATGTGACTGGTGTGGTCTCAGAGTTAAAATATATGTGTGTCATGACATTGAGAAATGAGGCGCTAGTCAATTTTTGGGCATAATGGACCGTTATTTGTATCGTCTTATTGCTTGTTCATTTGTCTTACTTATGTTGAAAAAAAAAATATCCATTTTGACTTGAAGTGGAAGAGGAAATATCTGTTATTGAAGGACCTAGGGGTCACTTGTTGCTATAGGTAAAATTACAATGAAAGTGGCTGCTGAAGTTTGGTGAATTCCAAAGCTTGAGTGTCCTTGGAAATGCAAAATTTACATTTTTGTTCCTTTGCTCAACGTATTTCAGTAAAATCCACACAAAAATGTGCTTTTACATGGACGTAAAAGGTGTTGAGTCAGAAAAGAAATGAATAAAAATTGCCCAACGATGGAAAAATGTCAGTTTCTTCAATTCCAGTATTTTGACGAGCGCCTGATTTCACCACTATGCCACACATAAGGTTGGCTTACAGTGTGCTGACCCGTATTGCTAATGGAAAAGCAGCCTGGTACATAGAATTAGAAATCAGTTACACAATGTGGCAACTGCTGATGAGACCTAACAGGGGGGTAGCAGTTGAAGAATATTTCCTCAATCATCATAAATGCCACAACCTTTTGTGCTCAAACTCTGATGGCATCCCCCCTCCAACAATAATTGCCCTGGTATGACATGACATGTAATCACCTCCACTAATTTAACATTTCATTTATGAAGTTCCCTATTTTTTTTGTTCCATGTGAAGGAGTTTAAGCTGAAGGCCCACCTGAACCGGCACATGGCCACATCCCACGGGATGCCCATACAGCCTGGCAGCCCGCGACCAGTAATGAAAACACGGGCTGCCTTCTGCCTTGTCACCACAGAGCTAACCCGCATTTCTCGCCGCTTGTGTCGGGACCTCCTGCGACCCCGACACGCTACCCGTTGCCCTTTCACACCCATTAACACATCTTTAATCAAACAAGAATGTAAGTACCCACCTACAAATGAAACAGAGAGAGAGAGAGAGAGAGAATGTTTTACAGAGCGGGTTGTCCCAGCATGTGAGACATGTATTTACTAATGTCCTGTTTTGTTGTGCATATGCGTGAGTGCACGTAACCTTTGTAACGTCTACTGCCATTGTTAACGACCAAGACAAATTTCTCTTTGCGAGGTGAATAAAGATTGTCTTTGTCATTGTCTTCCTCGTGTCTCTCAACTCCCTGAGCGGTTGTTTAGGATGGGGGAGTCAGAGAACATTAAGTCATTTTTTTTCTTTCTTTAATTGTTTGAAGGTTTTTTCAGTGAATTTTGAGTCCCCCCGCGGCAGTGCCACTGACTGTAGTGTCTTAAGGCCATTCTCAAAGGGGGGACATTTCTCGTTCAAGCACAGTAGCATTGTAAATGGGCTGTTTCATTTCACTCTCATAACTGTGCCTGATCTACAACAGGGTACTGCTGCTTTTTCTTTCCTATTCCTTTCTATTGTCATTTTCCTCTACTTTTTTTGTATTTTTGTCACTCTCTTGTGACCTGCTATTTCCGGGGTGCCTTGATAGTTGAAACAGACTTTGTGCTGTTGAAGCTAGAGAGGTGAGCAGAGTAAGTCTGATTCCCCGTAAATACTTCTCTCTTGATATCCATCCCTTGGCGCTCATATGATCTTATGCAGTTGCGAGCGCCATATGCAGTTGCGAGCGCCGTAAATCCTGTACTATAATAAAAGAATTTTGAGTGTTGATTGTCTCGGTTGTCATTGTTGTTTTTCTGACAAGGCTTTGTCATTCCTATCCAACATCTGTTGTCCTTATTTCTCCTCCTTCTTTTCTTTGTATGTCTCGGTTGTCATTGTTGTTTTTCTAACAAGGCTTTGTCATTCCTATCCAACATCTGTTGTCCTTATTTCTCCTCCTTCTTTTCTTTGTATGTTACGCCCTGGTAACTCCTCTAATTTTCAACACATATACATGACCTATTTGTGTTGCGAGTACTGTAAAACCTTATGAAAACTGAAGAAACTACTTTGTCATTTTTGTTTCTCACTTGGTTTTTGTCCTTTTGAGGTGTCACTATTGATGGGTGGTTGTGGTGACTGTTTTTTGTAGCCTGCCCCATTTACTTCTTTATAAGGGTCTCTTCATGTTGTACGCAGGTGACAGGAGTTCAATTCCTGATTGAAGAGAAATTTTTATCTAGGTTGTTTGTCTTTCTGATGGGATTTTTTACCCCTCTGAGCTTGGGTTGACCCCGACAGGCAGGGTCAGAAGCCCGCCTCCTAAACGATCTGACTTGTGTCAATGGAGGCGTAAAAATATGTACATTGACATTTTTAAAAATAATTTTTTTCGTTCTGTGCAGGTCAGCTGCGGCTTTCAGAGCGACCTTCGTACCAGCAGCCTGCCAAGTACCGTACGCCGGCCACTCTAGACCCCGTGGTTGCCAGACTTGGCATCGACATCAAGCAGGAGAAACCGTCACTGCTGTTGAAAGGGCCCAACTATGGTGGTGGTGACCGCAGCAGCACTCCCAAAGGTAGACACACACACACATAAACCAGGTAGACACACACACACACACACACACACACACACACACACACACACACACACACACACACACACCCTTCTTTGCTGTCCTCAGTTACTGAAGCAGGTGGTTAGCGGGTGCTCTGATGCAGTGTTATTCTTCTTTCCTATCGAAGATTTATCAGTCCTCTTTCTTTTCTTTGTATTTTGCTCTCTTGTAACACCTCTAATCTTTGGAGCTTGTATGACTTCATTGTCATAAAACTTGCAAAAACTAAAGAGTTACTGGAATGTTGTAATAGAAGATGTATTTATGTACCTCTGCTCGGAGATGTCTCTTTAATGTCGCAGATCATTCATATGAACTACAGTAGTACATTTATGTTTATCATAGTAAATTATTAGCATTGCTATTGCACAGGACATTTGGAAGTTTGAGTTACAGAAGTGTATGGTGTTTTGACTATTCCATATTTAATAGAAGAACTAGGTTCAATCATTGAATAATCTCATGTTTATAATTTCAATACTTTTTGAGAGCATGGCTCACTAGATGTTTTTCGTATGTTTTAAATCCAATTTCTGCGTTGATGAATAAAAGCGGTACTTTTAAGAATCATCATTCTTATTTCTTGAATATTGTAACCGTACTGTGGTTCCTTTTATTTGAATTTTAAAATGGTTTTGTGTTCATTTTGTTTACAGAGAGACCACAAGAGAATGTCAAAGTGGGATCTGGCCATCCATCCATCATGAAGAAAAGAGGATATGAACAGACCAATGGTGTTGATTCAGGTAGGTGTATGTGTCCTGGTCCTGTCAGAATCAGTTGTCTTATTTAGAAGGAAAGATTTGCCGTCTAATAAATTAAGACAACGTACTGTTGTTATAGTAGACACTTTGTATCCTGCAAAAAAACAACAACAAAAAAACAAAAAAAACAACCTGTCGTAAATGATAACGTCTATATTCTCGAATGAAGTCAGATAATTTACAATATATTAACCTTACAGCTCTATGCTATTTTTAGCCCTCACTTCTCTCTGGCCCAGGTAACACTATAGTCTTTTACCCCTCAGGCCTGGCTATTATTATTAATGATTGTGTCTGAAATTCTGTGCAGACATTTAAAAAGTAACGTCTTTATTGTTTTTGTTTGACGTTTTAAAAAATAGTATATTTTTCAGAGACAATTCGATAGCTTACAGTAAAAAAATTATGTGACTGGATTTAAGGTGGCAGGTGCCCTTAAGGGAAATGTATACTTCTGGGACTGTAATAGTTAATATGGTCGTCCTTTGTCTCTTTGTTCAGGTCCAGCGGCGAAACGTCCGAACATGGGAGTAATCCGCCAGGCTGGCACAGCCATCAAGACTCCAGGAGTCACAGTAAGTAATGTAGGAGAGTGCTTCGGATTGGTTTTGATTTGTCGGATTGGTTTTGATTTGTCGGATTGGTTTTGATTTGATTTAGTTCAGGAAGGACTATCTTAGACGAGTCAGTCAAGTCAGAAGATGGCTCCTGTGGCAGTGTCTTAGACTGGCCATGGGCACGGGGATTCTTTGGTGTGACACACAAGGAAAAACAAAATTTCTACCACAGGACCATGCTTGCAGCTTGCTTGCTGAATGTTTACTAAATTAACCGCCGCAAAATTAATGTGCAAACTATAAGGGGAAGGTTGTTTTTTGTTTTTTTCTCAGGCTGAAAAGAATACATGTAGGGTTTTTTTCCTTCCTCCCTGTACCTTAGCTGATGTGCTTATTTTGCGCAAGAGCTGTTGCGAACTGATTTTTTTGAAAGACGGATTTAAAAAGGGAGAGAAGTTCAGAATTTGAGGTTTCTATTATAGATGTGGACGAAATGCCAATACATAACCATTTTAGCTTTATTTTTAGATTTTTAACTTTTTTTTTGGTTATGCAGAAGAGTTTCACCCTAAAGATACTGTTGGCTATGGTAAAATCCCTCTACCTCAGATCTGATCTTTCTGGTTCTTAACAAATAATCTTTTTTCTCCAACTTCGAGTTTTCTCCATTTGTCGTTTTACTCACTTCAAATAGTAAAGGCTTCCTTGATTTTGAGTCTCAATGTTTATTTTATTTGCAGACAAATATGAACTCAAAAGATTTTATTTTATTTTCACAACAAATTTCCGATAGATTTCTGATTGGTGTCTGTGGTGTAGTGGTTAAGCTCTTCACTGTCACAGGCAGGAGACCAGAGTTTGATTCTGGAGGGGGAGAATTTTTATAAAGTATCTCTGTCTTTTTACTGAGATGTTGTTTCCCTCTCAGTCTGCGTTGGCCTTTACAGGCAGGGTCGAAGTCCATCTGCTCTAAAATTATCTGAATTTTTCTAATGGAGGAAAATCAATAGCATTTTTGAAAAAAAGTGTTCTGAGGTGGGGCAAGCTTTATGATTTGATGGCAACTAAAAGTAATACATTTTCAAAACAGTAGTATATTCTTTCGGACTGAGGCATTCATGTTGTGCAGTTATTTTATTTTAAAATGTACACCGTATTAATGTACACAAAAATTGTAAGCCATTGGTCTTCTTGGTTGATGCAAAATTAAAACAGTTCAGCATATACCTCCCCACTAGACCTGCTCCTATTGTGAACACAAGAGCAACAAGTTGTATCAGTATTGTTGTAGGGTACCAACTAGTGTCTGGAAGTTATCTAAATATTCTAACTAGTTATTATTATTATTGTTTTTGATAAGACAACATATGCATGCATTGCCTTTAGAGATACATTAGTGTGAATCGTGAACACTAATACAGCATAATCTGCGAACGGTATAGATTCATATCGGATTGATGTAAAGAGCTTTTGGAGTCTGGTCTTAAATGACCTTTCTATGCAGCAGGAAAAGTTTCCACAAGTCTGAGCAAGTTTGATTGTCATTGTTTTCCCTCTCCTTCAATATCTGTGTAAATGCTCTAATCAGAAAAGCATGTATGAGCTGAGAAAAGGTAGTTGTTTACCAACACCCCAAGTGTTTCAATGCTTGAGGATATTTAAGCTTGTTTTGTTTTTGTTAGATATTATATTACTTACCCTTCTCATTTCCTACTAACTGTCCAAGTGACAAGTGCATGTAGCATACGAGTCGGAAGTTGTCTGTTTTGTGTACTTTCAATAGGTGAAGAAGATGTGTCTGCATCTGGGGGGGGGGGGGGGGGGGGGGGGGGTGAAAAATGATCAAGATATTTATTGTGTGTATATACTAAGTGAAATGTATTCCTTTGTTGTAGATTTAGTTTGACAATTTATGACTTGACAGCTGACACTTTTTCTCAGCACTCACTCACTCTTTTTGTTCTTCTTTTTAAAAAAAATGTTTTACAGGCCATGTATTTCATTTCTAGGTTATGTCCTGCTTGCTTGTGGCAGCGAATACATGTCTTGCAGACTGTTCATATTAACATTGTTATTGTTTTTGACCAATTTTATAACATGCTTGAATTAATTTCTCTTTTCCTCTCACCGTATAGCGGGTAAGGTCTTCACAGCAATAGCAAATTTTAGCTTTATGCACGTGCTAGATCATTTAACGCTGCCTAAAAAAATATGAGAGACAAATTTTGTTCTCACGTTGAGACCACTGGGAGGTGTACTATTGTTCCATGCAGGGTGGTCCAAAAGTTTCAGTACATCGGGGAGGGGAGGGGAGTGGAGGGGAGTTGTAAAATGATGAGGCCTTTGTTCTGGCCACTGAGCAGCACTGGAAAAAGTCAGAAAGGGAAGAATGTAATGGGGGGAAATCTTTGTGATACTTTCCCCATGTAGGGAAACTTTTGGACTATTCTGTTGTGTGCACCTATCAGATTGGGGTAATGGCTGCCTCGGGTGTTGTTTGTCACAGTTTTGATTCAGCAGGGGTGCTTTGTTAGCTAGTTGGTGAATCGTGGGCGCACAGTATGTTATTCTGCTAACAAGATTCGCTTTTACTTGAAATCTTTTTCATTTGCGCATTGCATATTCAAAAGACAAGTTATTTTTATTTCTAAATGTAACACAATTAATTGATAACCCTATGTTGAGTTGGTAATTAAAAATTTTTTTGGGGGGTTGGGGGAAGAGTAAGAGATTTTACCATCTCAATTTGTTCGGATTCAGTAGGTTTTACAGTAAACTTACTTCAGCTGTGGGATTGGTGGGGTTGAAAGAAGTTATAAAGTATCCCTTTGGTTTTAGTGGATTTCAGAAGGTGATGTTGAGCATAGATAAGAAAGTTTAAGAGGGTCTTGTAGGTTTGAAAGAGGGTGTTGTAGAGTTTTAAAAAGTTGTAGAGTGTCACTGGTCTTATGGCTTTGAAGAGGTGATATGGGGCATGAATAAGGAAAGTTAATGGGGTCTTGTAGGTGTGGAAGAAGCTGTAGAGGGTCACTGGTGTTTTGGCTTAGAGGGGGTGATATGGGGCATCAATAAAGAAATTTGATAGCCTCTTGTTGGTTTTGAGGGCGGTGGCAATAGTTGGTTAGTGGGAGTGAAGTGCCGCTATACGGTGATGTATTTCAGAGAGGCAGTGTGCTGAACCACAACAGCGTGAACGGCCGGAGCCGCTTCTGTGGGAAAAGTATGAGGATGCAGCTGGTGGGCTGGATGGACAACCCGGACGATGTCTACTTTGTGGCCACCGCAGCCACCAGGTACGTTTGTTGGCGACACTTGACACACAGGACGGTGGATCCTGCTCTAACAACCACCTGTCCAAGACAGTCACCCTCACAAAGGATCTTTTCCCACTCCCCCACTAGTTTTTAAAAAAATAAAAAATTTGTACTACCCGTCACGCCATGTGGCGTTAAGGCAGCAACAATGGATCCCCAGCTCTGTCTGTTTTGGGCCATCTTGGTTAACGTCCCTCACGAATGGTTCCAGGACTTCATTTCAGACTCTACTGTGCATCTCCAGGTCACTTTGGGTCTGCCCCTATTGCGATGTCCTTCGGGTGTCCATTGGAGGGCAGTCTTTACAATAGCGTCTGGTTCTCTTCTTAGAACATGCCCAATCTATCTCCATCTTCTCTTTGTTATTATGGTGGTCATGTCCTTTTGCCTACATTTCCGTAAAAGATTTGCGTTGGAAATCTGGTCGGGCCAGAAGATTCGGAGGATTTGGCGTAAGCTGGTTGTATGAAAAGAAGATAGCTTGGCACGATCATGATCAGTCATCCTCCAGCATTCAGATCCATATAGGAGTGTGCATAGTACACAGCTGTTATACAGCTTTAAAAAAATATTTTATATTAAATGTCCATGGGGATTATCTGGCATTTATGGCACTTGCAACTTGATTAGGTCATATAAATGCTGAAGACTAGAGTTGTTACATGCTATCTATTATTTGTACTGTTAATAGGAGAGAGAAAAAAATATGGGTATTTGAGTCTACATTGTTCCTTGCATCGTTCTGAGCCTGAGGATTGTGTGTACCATGTACATTTTTTCTTCCTGCTCTGGGTTGCTGTTATGGATTGATTTTTGCCTGGCAGACACTACAGTAAATTATTTTTCTGGGGAAGAGTTTTAGCTTGCCTTTTTTGTGAGCCAAGAAACATGTCAAAAATTGAATGCGTTGCTACCATTAGCATAGCTGATGACCAATAGTGAAATATTGTACTTAATTCTTTTTTCAAAGTCTGAGGACGTAAATCCTTCTTTATATCGGAAAAAACTTCTTCTCTTTTTTCTGGTATTGCTCTTGACAGACCTGTTGCTAACACTGAAGAAAAATTATGAACTTTTAAGACAAGTTTTGCGAATAATAATGAAAACGAAGCCCATAAGCCGGTTTGAAAGAAGCTTACTAAACATTTTCGACATTATTATTGTATGTCTATGTTGAATAGCTTGAATTTATTGAATACAGAAAAGTGTATGTGAAGGGTTGGGGGGGGGGGTGTACTTGGCCAGTGCCCCCCATATTGACCCGCTGCATAGGTAGTCTGGTTTTTAAAAAATAGTTTTGAATAGTTGGCAACTATGTATTTGGTGGATTTGATCTTCAGTAAGTTTTGGCATGAGTCTCCTTTCTTGAATGCATGGGCCCCTCGAGATGAAATTTAGGGGTTTGTACATTTAGTGTTTACTTTTTAGTAGATTGTAACACATTCAGTGGAAATAAATATTGGAAAGACTCAAAGAACAAAATGAAAATCTTGACCGAATGACAGATAGATATTATTCGAGTTTTTTGTGTGTTTTTAAAATAGCAAGAGTGGGCAGAATGAAAACTAGAATTTTCAAGTTACATTTGCTTTTTTTTTTTTTGAGTTGTAAGTGTCATTTGTAAAATAGTAAGAGCGGCAGTAAGAGCAGGCAAAATGAAACTAGACTTTTTTAAGATACATTTGCTCCTCCCCCCCCTGCAGGAAAATCCGCAAGCAGCTTCAGATGAATGATTTCAAGCGCCTGGCCCGCAACCCGTGGAAAACCCTGAACGTGAAACCTCCGCTGCCCTCTGGCAGCCTGAGTGGCAGCAATGGACACCGGCCCACAGTGCCGCAGGAGGTGGTGGTGCTGGACTGATTAACTCGCACACACACACTCTCACTTTTCAGGTGAACACTTGGGCTTGTGCACATGATGTATTAAGTCCCGCTTAATGTGAAGCATCTTGTACTCAGGATAAAATAAAGGGAACTGCATTCTGCGATGCAAACATTTCGTTTCTGCTAAGGGAAGAAATTAAATTTTTTATTTATATGCATATATATTTCATATATATATATGTACATTGGAGTCTACCTGTCTACAGTGGTATAGTATCACAAGGGACTCACGATAAAAACAATAAAATCTGCCTCAGACAAGGTTACCAGTAAGGGTAGGATAGGATGGGGGCAGAGAGGATAAATGAAGGATTTGATCAGTACTTTTTTGATGTTGCGCTGTCAGTTACAAAGGCTGATGGGTTGGTTCTCAAGCTCAGTGAAAAGGGAGTGGTTGTCTTGAAGATCGTGTTTGGGAAAATGTGGATGTAAAGGTTAGCAACTGTGAGCTTAAGTTACTCATGTGTAATTGTTTATTTTTTTGTCTTTCTCGATTAATGTTCAGACAAACAGGCAGGCGAACTTTAAGTTACTCATATGTAATTGGGTTTGTCTTTCTCGATTTACGTTCAAACAGACAGGCGAACTGGACTGACCCATGAAATCTTTCAAGACAAGAGCAGAGATAGAGTCAAAGGTTTGGTGCAGTGCGGCCTGCCTGCCTGCCTCCCCCCAATCCCTGCCTGTGACTGTGTGGAGCGTCATGGAAGGAGGCGGCGATGACTGCCACACCCACCTGCAGCAAACTCTCACTCACTCGGCTCCCAGCTTGTGTATCATAGGCCCTCACCCCAGCGACCCCCCGGCCCCCCCAACCACTACCACCACATACACACACAGAAACACACTCACACACACACACACACACACACACACACACACACACACACACACACACACACACACACACACACACACACTCACTCACTCACTCACTCACTCACTCACTCACACACACACACACACTCACACACACACACACACACACACACACACACACACACACTCACACACCACTGTTGGATTTTGAAATATTTTTTTTCCTCTCTCCATTATCACTCATCGTCATTGTGTACATATGCTCTCTCTCTCGTTCATGACATTGACATTGATTTATTTGTGTTGCTTGTGTTTGTGAGTGTATTTTGGTGAGCGTGAATTAGTTTGCGAGAATGTGGGGATGCCTCTGTATATCAATTTATCTTAGACCAGCATATTCATCATCTTGATTGTCATTTTCATGCAAGACTTGGTGTGTCTGCCGAATAAGGTATGTGTGAGATTAAAACTTATACTGTTTGTTTTTTTATCTTTATTTTTATTTTTTAAAGAAAAATTGTTTTCTGAATACTGAAACTGAAGATGAAGGGGTTACAGGGTTTTTCTTTTAACACTTTACGGTTACTTCGCGCAATAATGCGGCAGTGAAAATTATCCGTTTCGGTCAGTTCTGCGCCAGGCCCGAGAAGTTCGTTGCAGTCACTCTCCTGGCAGAGTGACCGGAATGGGTATTTTGTACTGCTGGCTGTGTGACTGCAAAGTGTTGAAGTTTAATAATAGGGACAGTAATTTCTGTTTAAATGGAGATTTTACTTTTTCAAGGTCTTTTTATCAAAGAACATCGGGGACGGAGAAATTTTCACCACTTTACTCGAGTTCAGTTAACTTCTGTTTTGTTTTTGTACTCACATTTTTCAAAACAAAGGCACTCCTGTCTTTTATTTTAGTTCTGAAAAGTGAAAGGCCATTTTTCACATGGTATAGAGAAAAAAGTTTATTTCTGATGCAAGCAATACTTTTTGTGTACATATTCATCGTTTGAATCATTTTTTTTTCTTTGTACATGAGGATCTGGAACATTATTCTGCTGGAAAGAAGGCTGACCATCAGTGCTAATTGATGAGAAAATTTACTTTTCTTTTAGCAGAATGATAAACCGTTGCCAGCAGAACGTGGGCTTTTGTTTTGGCATGGACTGAGCAAATGATGTTGTGTTCTTTCATGACTTGTATAACTGACTGAGCCGAGAGATTCCCCAGGGGCCTTGTGCCTGTGTGGACTTGTCTCGCTGGCTGTATTATTTTGATGTTTGTCTACTGTTACACTTTATGAAAACAAATCTTTACCCCAATGTTAGATTTTTATTACTTTGATTGATCTGAAATAAGAAGTTGTAGTTGGTAACTGAAGGACTCTTGAGGTTAATGTTCTTTGTGTCATGGCTAGTGACACATTTGACCCACAAAATTAGGAAAAAATGCCAGCAAGTTTAAAGCAGTCGGGCGCTGAAATGAGCGTGTTACTTTTTCTTAACTGCTTATTTTGAGGTCCTTTCTTGTAGCTGGTCTAAGTTTTAGACGTTGGTGCGTGTATTCGTCCCAGAATTTAAGATAGTAAAACTCTTTTTGTTCTCTAGTCGCAAAGTTTGAATGTTTCTTTACGAGACAAGAGATATTTTGATCAAAGGAAAGGCATGATTTTTTCGGACAAAGGGTAAAAAAATTCTTTAAGAGATATAGGAATCTTCTTTGCTGTATACGAATAGTTCTGTGAACATCAACTTGTAGACAGAATCAGTAATTACAAACGTCGTTTTGTCTCCTTTGATACGTAAATAGTTTTGGTTACACAAATTGCTTGTGACCGGGATGAAGAAGCTATGCTCTTGTCCTAAATTAAAGAATTTTTACAACTTAACAGTTTACTTTTCAGTCATCAAGCTGTATTGCAGAAAGGAGGTTCCTCTTCCTTATTAGAAAAGCCTGTGTGTTGTGGGATGTTTGTTTTACATTTCCCTGTCTTGTTTTCTATTTGCCCTCTTGAAGAATTTTTTCAGAGCTAACAAAAAGTCCAGGTAACTTAGGGAACAGTATTGCTATGTCTTCCATTTCATTTTGCAACGGGACTTGGAGTTGCTTGGGTTGAAAGTCTCAGAACTTTGTACTTGTCAGTCTATACTTTCTTTTACTGATATTGTTTTTCTGATCAGTATTCCATGAAATGGATTATTTTGTTCCGCAGAAAGGGATTTTATCACTGCGGAGAGTAGTTCGTTCGTTTTGGTAATGAAAGACTTTAAAAATTCTATATCTTTTTGCCAACGTTTGTTTATTCAGTGAGTAATTTTAAGTATGTTTATCTTTGATAGGTTAAGCATTTTCTCTATAACTCTGGGTATCTGAGTACACCTGTGTTCATCATTAAAGTAAGGTGAATGGACATGTTAGCAGTAAGCAGCATGTGGTGCGGCTGAGTCAATAAATGGCTGCTGTAGAAATTTGTTGTCTTGTCCCCGAAGGCGTCTGCAGCTGCAGAGTGGAGAAAAAGTACTCATTCACATTGTCATTGCTGGTTGCGGAAGTATGATATATGCCGAGTGAGCAAGTTCTCTTATATTGTGTCCGATGATTGTAAGTAAGGTATAATAAGAGCATGAAGAGAATGATGTGTGTGCTCAGTGCAAGAAGTTACATGTGGAATACTAGCTTCACTCCGGTTTTTAAAAGTCACATGATAAGGCGGAGAGGGGAAAATCGACTTGTGGTTGATATGCTGAGAGCTGTATGTTGTTGATGAGCTTATACTAACCCCGTGTTGATGATTTTGTATTTGACTGTTATTGTTGTGGTCATGAACTTTATGCAAGAAATTTCCATTTGCATTGTGAGATTGTGAGGAGAAATGGTGTGTTTCATTTTGTCTGGCATGTTTGACTCTTTAGGAAATCGCATTTGCTGTAAAGCAACAGCAAGGTGCTGAAGCGATGGATAACTGGCAATTTTCAATAGTTATTGCTTTTTGCTTGGTCCACTTCTTCCTTTCCATCAGTTCTATTATCGTTTTTTAAAGACTTTTGTTGTTCCTTTCATTTTTACGTTGCAAGCCTGTTTGCAACCTGCGAAGCGATGTAATGAGAACCTCATGTAAACAGTAACTGATTATTGCTCAAGGTGTATTACATTCAAGGCATATCTGCATTCTTGGCTTTTCTCAACTTAGTCTGCCATTTCGGTTATTTGAAGAATATTTGTGTGTGGTTTTTTTTTCTTTTTTCCTCTTTCTTTTTCAATGAGGATAGTCAATGTGGGGGAATACCTTATGTTGGTTAGATTTTTTTTTTAAATCTGTATAAAACTGAATTCTGTATATTCTGTTGCTCTATTATTCTGGAAGAAGAGTACCCTGTTAGGGAGGGATATCAATAGGCAGCTGTGAAAATGTACTGAGCCCAACATTTTGAAAGTTAATTCTTTTAAATTTCAGTTTCTTAATCTGTGGTGTAGATTGCAGCTGCTCATCAAGAAATATTTAGTCCAAATTCGAATTCTGAATCTGAA